GGTTTCATTTGATTTTCAATTTCTAGTAGGTTAACCAATGAATTTTTTAATTATCTGCCCGAAACAAACTCACCCCCTAAAAAGTGAATGTTGCCAAGCCCTCCCAGCGGCCATTTTTCAAATAACATCCCCCACCTTCCTCGGGCTCTTCTGACTAATTTTCGATCCCATTTTTGTCTGCTTTGCCCCGGAATGGGTGCCCCTGAATCTACAGAGATGATCCTGGGCCATACTGACACAATCCCACCATTTCTTGGCCCAAACAGACCCCTCTTTTCGACACAACCTCAGTCTTGGGGGTACTTTTTGTGCGCCTCAGCCTGGCGGAGAATTTTCCTTGAATTGGGACACTGCATCCCTATACGAGTGTTCTTTGTACATGCGCGGCATTGTACTCACATGTCCTAGGACCAACGAGATGTCTTTTGACTGAGTTGTGTTTTAGTCCATGCTTTCTACATACTAAACTGAAAGTACCCCCAAAGAAAAGTCAAGATTTTTAATAGTAAAAAAATGATTTGATTTCTAGAATCACAGTAAAAACATTGAACCTCACCCATTTTGCACAAAATAAAAAGAGTATAAAATAGTCCAATTCTTCTTGGCTACTGACATAGGCCCATATTCTTACATGGAACTTAAATCCGTCATATCGTTAACTTGTTCCTCTACATCGATCCTTGTCAGTCGTCCTCTCTCATGCACGAACGCAATTGGATTCGATAATGTTGCTCCATTTGTTATATGTTATATTCTTCGTTCATTAATACATAACAACATGCCAATTATTTCTATGCAACTGTGTCGAAATGATATGGCTTTCACGCTCCTCGGTTTGTATATTAAAACAAACGAATTTTGGTAGCGACTGTAACTTCACTAGCACTGTCAGTGCCAGGTAGCAGCAGTCACAATCTGCCCATGGTATAGACAGGGAACGGTTCTGTACCCTAACAAATAATGGACCTCTTTACAAAGACATTATGTGAGAACCGAGAATGTTACTCGTTCTAACTGCTTGTTCTAAATGTCTGTTCATGGTATAGGGTATACAAATACCTGCTTTTTGACAGGAAGGTGCCAAAAATGCTCCAGAAGAATGAGTGTGCTTGCCTTGTTTACTCCATGCCACAACGTACATGTACATGTACGTACGCGCCATGACTCATCGACGTGAATCCTCTAATTATGGCAGGTGACCCCGGTCAAGGGATTATAATTATTCATCGACTACAGAGGGCGTTTTGTTGTTTACGGGTGCAGTCTACTATTTCAGGGTGCAGACCACTAATTCAAGTGAGAATTTCTGGACATCATTAAAGGTGCCCCCCACAGCATCTTTTGAAAAAGGAGATTGTTTGGCCCCCAAAATGGTGAGATTGTGTAAATTGTTGCCAGGATCAACTCCCTGGGTCTTTGAGCTTTTATATGAGAGCAGAAGGGCTAAAAACTACGGTTGAAAAATGGTCCTAAGCGCCCGAGAAAGTTGAGGGTTGCCATTTGAAAAATGGCTGCAATGAGACTTCGGAAAAATCACTTTTTGGGGGGTGATTTTGTTTGTGGGAATACTTAAAAATGTAATTGGTTAACCCACAAAAATATTGAAAAGAAATTGAAAGAAAAGTGACCAGACAAGAGTTTCATTTGTGTTTCAGAAATCTCAGGGATGTTGGCGTGCATGCTATTGGGCCCTGAACAGTGCTGATTTTACAGTTTTCAATGGGGCTTGAATTAGTGGACTGGACCCTTCAAGCAATAATTTCCGCCAAGCTCATTGCGATTAAAAGTGCCCCCCGGCCCGCAGTATCTTTTGAAAAAGGGGCCTGTTTGGCCCCCAAAATGGTGAAATTGTGTAAATCTTTGCCAGGAGATAGTAGCCATTAATTGCTTTAAACGCATCCTAAGTTGCAAGGTTGTCATAGTAACAGATTAAAATGCTGCCATTTCCATTCCTCCTTTGGAAGTCACCCCTTTGTAAATGTTTCAAGCAAAGAAGCTCCTGACAACGAGATGTTATTTGTGATGGTGGTGGTGATGAGGGTGGAA